GCTGCGGTGCCGTGCGGCGCGCAGGGACCCCGGGAGCACCCCGGCACGCAGGAGGGGAGTGCAGGGCTCCAGGTCCTGGGGACTGGTGTGACTCCGGGCAAAGCGAACACGTTTGCAGAGCCAGGGAGGGCGGTAAGCAGGAAAGAGCATCCACCGCGCCCCTCCGCCTTTTCCCAGCCCCCTCCTCGCCTGCCCGCCAGGCCCCTGGAGGGAGACGCACGCCGCGGTGGGGAGGGCCGGGGGGCCAGCAAGCGGGCAGACCTGCCCCTGCATCGTCCTCCCAGCTCCGCAGTGTATCCTAAGCTATAGAAACAGAAGTTTAGAGCAGTGTCGCTTTGAGCCAAGTTTAACAAATCTCATATTTTCAAGCTTCCCAGTGCTGAAATTCATCTCTCCCAGGCTGCTTTAGCACTACAGACACTGACGGCCACCAGTGGGGCTCTGCCCTAGATAGCGCTCAAACAGGTCAGAAGCTTTACCACTGGAGTCATCGCTCTGCCCATCAGTAACAGACCTGAACAACCAGAGCAAAACTGCTTAGCATTGCGTCCAGGCTGCACACCGCTGCCTGAGGAGACACTTACCCCCCTTACACCTACTCAAAAAACACATCTGCAGCAGTGGTTTAGGTGGTTGCTGCCACCTCTCTCCCTGACAAAGTTACACAGGGTAGCAAGGTAGCTTTGTGTACATAAAACCTTTACACACCAGGGAAAGTTTCAATAGAGTATGTCAGCGTTAACCAGCAGCTCCAGCTATATTCAGTTGTACCTGCCAGCATCACTTCTGAAATTCAGGCTGGGAGGCGTGTGGAGAATTACAAACCGTAATATCAGCATTAGAAATTACAAGCCCCCCCCATCATTATTGAATGCGTAAATTGTCTTCTATTTGCCGCTAAGGGGTTTTCTCGTCCCATTTGTATTTGCTGACAGGACTCATGCTTTAGATATGAAAACCATTGCTTTAACGAGCTGTAGTTCTTGCCCTTGGAATCAAGTTGGGTTTCAAACACATGTTTGAAAGCCTGTGAAGCTGGGTAAGCCCTGAACTTTGGGCAAATACAGCTATTAATCTTTAATCCTTAAAGTCTTACAGGTGCACCAACACCAAATCTGATAGAGGAACTGGGATTTTGCTGCAGGTCATACACAGATATGTGTACATGCAGACATGTGCTTAATTATCAATCAGCATTTTTAACAGACTTGCTTTGGCTGGACATGTTTAAAGACTCCTCAGCTTTTGGTGAGTGAGGTCAGGCTCTTCGCACCTCTCGCTCTTAGGGGGACACCTCCAGCCCCAGTCCTTGCCCACCAGGTTTCCAAAGCCACTGCCAGCAGCCTCATCTTTAGCTTGAAGTCTTGCTTTAGGAGATAGACCAAAGCCTTAATTCATCCATTTCTGCTAATACAGATGAGTATGTTTTCATACAGGCATTGTCTCGCTCATCTCTCTGGCTGTCCTTTCTTATGAACGTTACTGCACCATGACAGGAACAACAGAGGCCGATACCACAAACTACAAGAAAACATGGGCAGGGATTGTCCTGTCCTGGACGTACTCCCTGGTCTGGACTGCACCCCCCCTTTTCGGCTGGAGCAGTTACGGGCCAGAAGGACCAGGGACAACATGCTCCGTGAACTGGCATTCAAAGGATGCTAACAATGCATCCTACATCATATGTCTGTTCATCTTTTGCCTCTTAATCCCTTTCGTCGTTATTGTTTATTCGTACGGGAAGCTGCTGTGCGCTGTAAGGCAGGTAAGTAGATTCCTCAGCTGCCTTTTTACTGTGATCCCAAGCCAAGCAGAAACCAGTGACCACCATTTTCCACCTTTGTAACTTGAAAACTAGCTCCCCTGTGACTGTGTTGGTGACAGGCTCCAGTCTACCAGGGCTTTCAAAGTCACCCTCAAGCGTGAGCAGCTGGAAGTCCCTGTGACAGCTTCGCAGATGAGGGAAGTTTGCCAAACCACTTGAGATACCCCAATTACCCCTAACTAAAACTAGGAGGGATGTACCTACCTTGATGAGATTGATCCTAGGACTTAAATCTGCAGCAAGCCTATGGAGAGGTGAGCATCACCTGTGGGTTCAGAGGCTGTACGGTCAGCGGAGGGCGTAGGAGCTGTGATTTCAGAAGATCAGTGCTTCTTCTCTGAAAGCATAAGAACCCTCCAAGAAAGGGTACAAAAAAAGAAAAGTCATATATAACCCAGCTGCTGGCAGGACCCAGGCAAAGTGAGAAGCTGGAGTTTAGCAAATACAAACGGTAAGGCAGTCCTGTGGCATGAAGCTTACCCCTTGCACACAAACCAAAGCCAACCCATAAATGACCATGAGCTATTAATCTATTCCCAAGATAAGAGATCTTTGCTTTTAATAGTGCTAACCCACCCAATGCAGCGCTTGGTACAGCACGCTTGTCAGGGCTGCCGCTGTCAGGCAGCGGGAAATGCCGATGCACAAGTTGTTGTTGTCCTGTGCCTTTGTGGTGTCTGCATTTAGCCAGGAGTCCTAGGGAGCGATGCGCCAGCGCTGCCTGCTCATGGCACGGTGTCGCTGGGAGGGGACCCCTGAGTGCAGCAGCCCCTCTGCCAGGGACCAGCCTGCGGCCAGGAAAGGACCAGGCAGCTCAAGCCAGGCCACCCACTCCCTCCCCACCCCCATCACAAAGCGAGCGCTCGCCACCCGACACAGCCCCGCGCCCCATGAGCCCATCCCAGGCTGGGCACGAGCTCCATCAGAGCTACGAGAACTGGCTTTGTCTCAGCTCATGCAGCGAATGCCTGAAAGGTAAGAGGGAATTAAGATAAAAATCAGTCTATGAGCCACATTTGCAGATGTAAACATTTAACTTAAGCTTATTACTGCTCTGGGACTTTGGGCAGAATTCAATCAAATGAGTGGAGATGTCTGTGTTGGTCCTTCTCAGCCTTTCCCAGCCCCTTCTCTCATTACAAATACCTTTCCTTCCCCCGACTGTGAGCTTAGTCCTCTTTGGTCACAGCATGGTGGCTGCTCCTGCACCACCACAGACCTGTCCCCCGCGTGCAGGCAGGGGGGCTGGCTTTCAGGGGACTGTTTTTTCCATCTTCTGAAGCTACAAAAGCTGGCTTAGAGGTGCTGCTTGTTGCAAGTCACAGCAGCCAAGGCTGGAGCAGGTAGTGCCTGCAGGAGAGGCTTTTCCTCTCCAAAGCTCCTCCATGGGCAAGAAGCAGCAGGAAAACCTGGGCGGAGAGTTGTTCCCTGCAGGAAGGTTGTGCTGTCCCACACGTCAGCAGACAGAGTCTTAATTCTGCTGGGGCTGTGCCTAGGTGGGAGCACTGAAGGATGTGAGTTTTCATATTAAATACTCTTCTCACTGATGCATCCCTCACGTAACAAGTGAATTTCAGGCCCCGAAGACCTACCTGTCTTCAGGACAGCTTTGGATGCTCTCATCAGGGTGAGCATTGGTGTGTTACCAGCTCGGGTGGCAGCAGGACTCCGCAGCCTTAGCAGAGCCCTCTGCAAACCCAGCAAGTGATGGGACCCCTTCAGTGATATGAACTGGTCCTCCAGTGACCGCAGCGGCATGGAAAGGGGACAGGGTGGTGGCAAGGGGCTATCGCACCCTTCACTAGGGTTGACAAGTGTGAAGGTCAGGAGCTGCTTTTCCTGGGCTGTCTGGTCCTGCAGGGACCCCAAAACATGGGAAACATTCTGGGAAATAACATGAAAATTATTCTCAGAAGGGGAAGAGCCATTTTTCTGCAGTTTGTGCAAAGTCTGTGCATGTGATGTTGTATTTGTTGCGTGACCCTGCAGGACGGGGCTCCTGAAGCCCCAGCATGCAGGAGAGCCAGTTCTGTCACTAAGCCTACCATCCTATCATCCTACCAGATTTGCCAGACACACACCTCCGTCTCAATCCAGATTATCCTTGCACAAAGCAGGGCTCACAGGAGCGTTCCATGAAGAGGGAAAGTCAAAACTGGACAGTGCTGCTGGACACACCTGGGCACAGCCGAGCACGGAGGGCTGGGTGCTGCAGAGCTCGTTTGGGAAGCTGGAGAGCAAGGGGAAGCCAGCGAGCCCCTGGGCTCAGGCAGCGTGCCCATGGCTGCCCCAGGCTTCTCCCGGATGGTTACCCTGCCACTCAGCTTCCCCCACGGCACCAAGGTGCAAAAGCAGCATAATCCCTGGCATGTGTAAGAGGGAGGAAAAAAAAAGACTGAACAAAATAAGCTTCACATGAAGCTAAATAAGGAGTTAAACAACAGACATCTGTACTTTTAGAAGATGCCAAATTCTAGGCAATCCTCTGTAAGCCTTTCATCATGCTTTCAACTCCTGGCATGAATAACTTGCCCTAACTGAAGTTATCTGCACCGCTTACAGGAGTAAAATTGTAGTGGGAAATCGGGGTGTTTGGTTTCAGCCAGGCATGAAAAATCATATCCTTTCGCTTGACATTTGTGTTTTCATGCTCTGGTTTCTGACATGATTGTCATCACGGGAGATATGCAGGGATGCTTAAAGTCTTGGAAATCAGTCCAGGCTCTTGTACTCATTACTCTCTTGTGCTGCTTGCAAGCGCTGACAGATCCTACCATCTTGCCTTAAGCTCACTGTTTCCTTAAACCTGAAGAAAATTTGTCACCACTAAGAGAGGACCCATTTTTGCCCCCAGGTCTCATTTCAGGCTGGCAGACAACGTCCAGGGGGAAGGGTTTGCTCTGAGCCATTTCAAATGAATACCAAAGGAGCTTGAACATTAGTACGCTGTTGATGATTAATCTGAATACTGAAAATAACCATTAGAAAATGAGGTGTATTTAGGTTTCCAAACACATTGAGCTTTCCTCTTCATTATCTCCTTTCTGAGAAGTCTTTCTGTTTTCATAGCGATTTCATACCTCCCCCGTGAAGCACTGTGCAGGACCCAGCTGAAAGCAAAGTTGCTTTCCCCGGGGGGAGGCCAAAGCACAATGAAGTTGTGTGGTGGCAGATGGCGGGGTGTGAGGGTTCCCGCATGGGGGGCTTCACCCACAGCACCTCAGTGGGATGGCAAGAGCCGGCTTTGCCTCCCGTGCCTGGTCCCATTCCCATAACAGAGCTGCTAGTGGAAACCTGCCAAGTGGGGTTTGCTGCAAAGGGCAAGGACACTTTATAATTGCCTTAGTTTTGTTAGCAGACTCTCGAGAGCATGTTATTTCCCCTATAGCTGAGTATGTAGCTTCAGATGAGTACACAGGATCTCATCCATGCTATACGCCACAGCAGGGAAGCTGCGATCCCTCAGCTCAAATTAGAAGTTGACAAAAATGACACAAGTGAAACAGAGCCTGGGAGAGAGACAGCCAGCAACCACCCCTGAGCAAGCTGTGAGCAGCTGAAAAGCAAATCCAACAACTGCTTCTTACTTCCCATAGCCCCATGCCATAGGAGGTCCTAGGAGCCCAAGCGGGGTTGGAGGACAATGGACTAACCCATTTCAGTGCTTGGGGTGAAGCACGCAGGCTGGGGAAACCCTCTGGGATGTGAAGCTGGGCAGCGCAGGAAAGCTGGATGCATCCTCCATCCACAGCCCAGTGCTGGTTTGGAAAGCTCTGTCATGTCTATCGTATTACTGCTTCAAGACCATTGTTGCCAGCAGAAACAGTGCACATGGACAAGACTCCCAAAGACAACTTCAGCGATGCAAACAATTCATAGGCTACCAAAAATGACGGTTTGGGATTTCTTGTAGTACAAATACTTCATAGCCAGCGTCAGGCTCACCCTGAGCTCCTGGATGTCCTGGAGAAGCAAGAGATCTTTATGGCCATTCCTGTTTCACCAGCATGCCCAACCTTGTGGGGCACGAGGTGTAAAGATGCCAAGTACATACCTGCTTGGGTAAACCATCTCCTCAAACGTGGTCTGCATCCCAAGTCCCATGTTGGGAATAACTGGCTCACTGAAAGCAACAAACAGGCAGCAATTCCTCCATTGCATCCATGAAACTTGCAAGAGACAAGCATTCTGCTACCAGGTTTCCAAATACCTGTAGTCAGCACATGAGATCTTAAAAATGCTTGTTGAAAATAAATGATTTATTGAGCACGGGGATTAAGAAGTGATTACTTAGAGTGACAAGCTTGTCAGATTCCTCTCATGAGAGTTGTCAGAATGCAAATATAATTGATTCCAGCTTTTGTATCACTGTATTATGGTGTGGATTTTTTTTCCCTTAATTCACTAACAGGCCTGCTCTTCTGTCATCAGACAAATGAAGTCTTGCCTCCAAATTATTGACCATGCTTCATCCTAGGATATGAGTACATGGGCTCAATACTCTGCTTTTCCGCTCAGACTCCTGCCCTGCATTGAGCGACATCAGTGTAAATCTACCATAAGTGCAGTGATGCAAAGCTCCTGAGGTTTAAGGGAGGTTCA